ACAGCGAGAGAGGGAACACAAGCAGGGGGAGTGGGAGAGGGAGAAGCAGGCTTCCCGCTGAGCAGGGAGCCCGATGTGGGGCTTGATCCCAGGACCCTGGGGATCATGACCCGAGCCGAAGGCAGACGCTTAACGACTGAGCCACCCAGACGCCCCTCTCAATTACTTTCTAAACATGAGTTAAACAATGAACAAGTTCACATACATATGTACATAAATAAAAGGCTTGAGAAAAACCCATGAAAAAAGCTAATGGTTGTTATGTCTGGGTTGCAGAATTACAGGGTTTTTAATTCTTTTAAAAAAAAAGTCCCCAAGTTTTGTAAAATGAGTGCCATTATGCTTAGTTTAAAAAACGTTAAATGGCCAAATTAAAAAAAACAACTTTTAAAAAGGGGGCAGGGAACACTGTAAGTACAGAAAATTCTCATAGAATAGTATAAGCATAATGAAAGACTGTTTACCTAATTTATTATTGAAGTGTTAAATAGAAATTTATTATGCTAAAACTAAAAGGCACACTTTATCATTCATCTGGCCTTTGCTTGCCATGAACAAAACTATGAAATGATCTTAAATAAACTCACCTCTTTAGCCTCTGTTCTAATAACACTGCTCTGGGAAGCAACTTCACTTCCTTCTTGAAGTTTCTTCTCTTCTTTTATACCTATATTCACATTAAACACATCATTAATTATTTCATTTAGGCTGCAACTTCAGGAACAGTTTAAGTAAAACTTTTCTTAATGAAAATAAAGATAGGACAAATAAAATTGTAGATGAAGCCCATTCGCCCTCATAAAGTTTCAAAATGTACCTTAAAACATCAAAGGTCTATATAGCACTCCTGTAAAGAAAGAGCTTAACTTCATTTGATCCAGTGGTTTTCAAAGTTATCTGAGTAAAGTTCTCACAGAACTCCTATGAAAATCCTGTGGAATACTGCCCTTTGAAATATGATCTGGGGAAATGGTACTACAGACCAAACTGTGGTATTTTTTTGTTTTGTTTTGCTTTTTAGAATTTATTTATTTGACAGAGAGAGACACAGAGAGAGAGGGAACACAAGCAGGGGGAGTGGGAGAGGGAGAAGCAGGCTTCCCGCAGAGCAGGGAGCCCGATGCGGAGCTCGATCCCAGGACGCTGGGATCATGACCTGAGCCAAAGGCAGATGCTTAACAGCTTAACAACTGAGCCACCCAGGGCCCCCAGACCAAACTGTGGTGTTACCTGTTTTTTTTGTGATTCGGAGAAGCCGCCTTGCCCCTGGGGTGGCCTCAGGCTGAGGCTGGGAGCTGGTGCTGCCCTCAGAGCTCTGCTGTACCCGCAGTGCCTTCTCCTGTTTAATTTCCTCCAGTGTCTTGATGTGCACCTCCTGCATAGACTTTGTTCTACCTGTGGGCTCCTCTGATTGTCCTTTGCTGGTAACTATAGGTGGCAGAACCACTGTTTTTTTAATTTCACTATCTGTCTTTAGCTTGATGCAAGTTACATCCTTTTTGCTTTTTTGCCTCTCTGCTTCCTGCTGCCGATGTTTCTTTTCAGCCAGGACCTCAGAGAAGGTTTTGATTCGGATAGTGGAGGGGCTTCTTGTTCCTAAAGTAGAATCATCAACTTTTGAAGGTCCTTCTGTCTTGAGTTTAGGTTGCAATTCTCCACGTTTCTGACTAGCTTTTTCAAGAAGAATTTCTTCTAATGTCTTCACATGGATCTCACCAACTTTAGTGACTCTCTCTGTTTTCATGGGGGGAAAAACAATCACTGTATTTAGCATTCACCTCTTAACAACGTATGCTCTCTCTATTCTTGGATCAGGGCAGAGTCCTAATAGAGTGGTATCATGTAGGCAGGTAATTAAAATGATCAAAGTATATTAGTTTCAATTTCAATTTTAAAATACTGCACGTTTCAGGTAGTGGCCCTCAATGAAAACTCTTAGGTGGCAAAAATTACTGATTTGTTGGAGTTCTATTCAGAAGCTTATTCCTGGAGAATCTCAAAGCCATTTATTAGTTGGAGACATCGGTCATTGTAAATCTTAACAAAATGGCAATAAATTAATTCTTCCATTCACTTATAAACAGGTGCTGGACACTGTGTTAGAAATATAACGATAAGCAAAACACAATCTCTGCCCACATGTAGTTTATAGTATGGTAATAGTAACTTTGTGTTGTTTTTTTTTAGTAAGCTCTAAGCCCAATGGGGCTTGAACTCATGATCCTGAGATCAAGAGCTACACTGCATGCCCTACTGAGCCAGCCAGGCACCCCAATAATGATAACTTTGATAAAGGAAGTATAATACTATGTAGGAGGAAGAACCCCAACCTTTGCCTAGAATTGGTTAAGGGAAGCTTTTCAGAGGAAGTAATGTTTAAGTGATATTTGAAGGATGAACAGGAGCTAAAACAGGTAACAAGACAGAAGAAAAATGGGAAAGGCTCAAAGATTGGCATGCCACTGAAGTGCGATTTTTAATGATATGTTAGTCATTCTACATCTGTTTAAAGAGCAAATTTCACATCTGACAGATATGCTTGTCGTCATTACTGAAAAGCTAAAAGAAATAGTGAAGTAATGTGGGAAAAACAAGAAAAATATGGAGATTGTACACACGCATTTGATAACTGAAGGACAGTTTTTTTGTTTTTTTTAAGATTTTATTTATGGGGTGCCTGGGTGACTCAGTCATTAAGCGTCTGCCTTCAGCTCAGGTCATGATCCCAGGGTCCTGGGATCGAGTCCCATATCGGGCTCCCCGCTCTGCGGGAAGCCTGCTTCTCCCTCTCCCACTCCCCCTGCTTGTGTTCCTGGTCTCGCTATGTCTCTGTCAAATAAATAAATAAAATCTTAAAAAAAAAAAAAGATTTTATTTATTTTGAGAGAGAGAGAGGGAGAGAACATGAGCAGGGCGAAGGGGCAGAGGGAGAGGGAGAAGCAGGGAGTCTGCCCCAGCGCTCGATCCCAGGACCCTGAGATCATGACCTGAGCTGAAGGCAGACGCTTAACCAACTGAGCTACCAAGGGGCCCCCAAATGACAGCTTTAAATGAAAGATCCAAAACAAAAAATATCCTTTAACAACCTTAAACACATCATGTTTGGTTTCACCTTCTCATTTTTTGAACATGCTGTCCCTTCTACAGAGAGTATGCCCTACTGGTCTCATTCTCTTGCTGCCTAGTTTTAACTGAGTTCGGTGTAGAACCTGATACCTGCCAATCTAGTTTATTTCTGTGATCACAGCACTGCAACTACCTGCATTTCCAGCCATACTAGATACTTCATGAAAACGGACTATATGTAGTTATCGGAAATATTTTAGTATAGTACCTGTATATAGGAAGTACTCAAACAGATACTGAATTACTTGCTTAGGCTTTTTAAATAAAAATTCTTCCATTTAAAGATGGCAGATTGATCTCAAAATTTCCACTCCAAGGAAGTGCGTGAATGGCGACATGAAGATCTTGTTTCCCCACTCTACCAAAATTTTATCAAAATAATAGAGAACACATTAAAAATAGAATAAACCCACAACAGTAGTGGAAAACAAGGCTGCCACTGGCACAGCATAAATCGAGGGATTTCTGAGATAAGACAGCAGCTATGTGAATTTACAGAAAAACAGAAAAAGAACAAATGAAACTACAGGAGTGAGATCTGTTCTTCCCAGCAGAGCCAAAGAAAACTGCCAAACTAGTAGGAAAAGAACAGTGGGCAGAAATGTAAGGATGGCCTATAGAGCCGCAGGACCAGTCATGACTTTCTCCTGGAACTGCTCCCTGAAAAGAGGAGAATCTGCTGGGGAGGGGAGCAAGTTAGGAGGTTGGAGCTGGAGGGAGAACAAAAAATGCTAAGCAGGAAAAGAACAGGGGAGAAGAGGAGAAAGGAGAGGTAGGGAAGGAAAGAAACTTTCTTACTGTGGCAATGGTATGGGCCCCTAGCCTTCCAGCCTGCAACTCACACAAGCTGACTTTTAGCACGCCCTCCCCGCCTCAGGCAGCCCTCACTCGTGTCTCCCAATCTGGAGAGAGGACCACTTGGGAATAAGACCTTTAGAACCTCCAAAGGAAGCCCAAGAGCTATGAAAAAACCACAACATTAAAAGTGGACCAAAACAAACAGAAGTGATGGAGATGACAATACACACTTTTTTTTTTTTAAGATTCCAATTAGAAACTCCAGGGCAGCCCGAAATCAGGCTGTGAAACAGGGAGAAACCAGAGAACAAAAAAAAGGTCTTGGAAGATAAAAACACAGGCACACAAATAAATCCCACCAAAGGAACTGAATAATAAAAAAAAGACAATCAGCCATGTAGAAGAGGCTTGGCAAATTATAGCTGATGGGCCCAATGTGGCCATGGCCGCACAGTGGAGTAGCTGTGGAGACTGTACCACAACACCTAAAATATTTACTATCTGACCTTTCATAGAAAAAGTCCGTCAATTCCTGACCTAGATAATAAAGTCAAGCAAAGACCATAGAAGGTGAGACAAAAATCAAAACCAAAGGAAACAAAAAGCCAAGGAGCGGAGAGCATGAAGGCAAGGTTAGAAAACACGTGAGACCTATGTCCTGAAATTCCAGCCTCTGTCTGGTACAAATGCCACAGAGAAACCAAAAGAAGAGTGGGAAGACATACTCAGGGAAATGAGAGGAATGTTTTCTAGAACTAAGTCCTCAGATTTGAAGGGCCCACTGAGCACTGGGCTGAATCAACCAAAAGTGCCATGTTTAGACCTACTGTACTAAAGTCCCAGCACAGCAGGGAGAAATAAAGAGAAAATTATAAAAGTTTCTGAAGAATAAACCCAGGTTCTTTACAAAAGAGTAAGAATGTTTAACATCAGACTCTTTTTATGATGCTGGTAAAAATCTTAATATACAAACCAGATAAGGATAGGATAAAAAAAAAAAACACAGGCTAACACCATTCATAAACATAGACATAAAAATTAAAAAGCATAGATATAAAAATTAAAAAGCATTAAACTGAGGGGCGCAAGGCTGGCTCAATCAGAAGAGCGAGGTATAAAAGAGCAGGATGGCTGGAGTACAGGTTCATTTTACTATTCTTTAAACTGTATACATATATACACTAAGTGGTTAGATCCTGCAATTTAAAAGGTTTAAAAATTAAGAGTACAGGAAGAGTACAGAATATAGACAAGAAAATTATTTTGGTGTATTTTTTGCAGTGTTTTTCTAAGGCATATATTTTTATCTTTACAAAACTGAAATCATACATACGGATGTTATTCTGAATAAGTTTCTATAATAAAATAAACTTCATCACCCCCACAAAGTAAGATTCTTACCCTAAATCCAAAGGTCAAAAGCAGTGTGTTCTTTTGTAACCTTTCTTCATTCAATATAATGTGAGAAGTTTTTCAAATCATGATTGTTCAAAATATGACTTATGACAATAATTATTTTTGTACATAACTACCTTAGTTGAATTTCTGTTGGATATTTAGGTAGTTTCTAGTTTCTTCTACTAATGCTATGGTGAACTGATCATTTCGC